AGGAACTTTAAGCCTGAATTCCTGCTGGTAGAGTTCTGACCATCTCCTGTTATCTAGTGTGAGACGAAGACCAGCAATCATCCTCTCATCCTGGATCTACCTCTGGGATTCAAGAGCTGTTAGGATAGGATCCTGGTGGGGTGACTGGCTTCTCTCTTATTCTTCCTGGACCCAAAGAAGCACTTTACAGGGTGTAATTTCTAATGAAGGCAGTTAGGCATTTGCCAAGAGGCCTAGGGAGAGAGAGGGGCTTTCATGTCACCAGGATGGAGAAGGGCTGGAGGAGCTGGAGCCCTGGGCAGCTGCCCAGATGTTTGGCCTCTGGGAGCTTGAGTGCAGAGGTAGTTCCAGCTGTTTATGCCGTCTTCTCCTCGTGAAGGTCAGCACAGGGTGGGGAGAGGGGAGGGTGGTGGAGCTACTGGTGTCTGGACACCAAGGACACAGTGACACTTTAGTATTCTCAGCTCAAGGGCTCGTCATGGGAAAAGCTGCTTTATGGACACAGCTTACTACTCAAGGGTCAGCCCAGAGCAGAAAAATGTCTGGGAATTCTGGAGCCATTCAGAGTCTTTTTTTTTTTTTTTTTAGTGGAAATTTGAGGAAATTTTGAAGCATATGTAATACTTTGACTTTAAGTGCCTTAACAAAGTTAAATCACTTTGTCAGTTTAGGAATGTAAAAATGCTTTATGTATAACTTGGTTTGCTCATAAAATCTTCATTTGGGTGTATTTAGAAACATGAGGCCAGAGAAAGGAAAGTTGAAATTTGAGGAAAAACCTCCAACCCTCTGACATGGAGTGAGAAAACAAATAGAAGTTTCTTTATAAATTTTGTTTGTCTCCTCGTGTGGTTAGGCACATGTGTGGTGCTGGAGGTTGGGGGCCAGAGACTGCTCCCCATATCTCAGGAGGGAGTCATCTAAGGAAGAGGGCAGGGAGAAGGAGAAACATACAGAGAACTGACAAGGGCAGCAGAGCCAGGGAGGCTGGAGCTGAGTTTTCCTAGGGGTTTTGGAGGAGGAGGAGCATGGCTCTGTGCAAAGGGTAGGTCATTGCCCTCATGGCAAAGTCACCCCATTCCCAGCTGAGACTGAAGTTTCAATGTCTTCCTATCATATTAGTCCACCCCCGACAACGTTTTCTTCTTCTCCTAGTCTTCCTTTTTTCTAGTCTTCTTGCTACCCTCTGACTTCTAACCTTTTCCCCCTGGAGCAGAGAGTCTCCCTGAAGTTCTCCAAAAGCTCCCAAACTTGGTTCATTCCAAGCAACATTTATTAGGATCCTTCAGGGATAGGGACGTGAATTAGACCCTGTCTTTGTCCTTGGGTGCCAGGTGCAGGCCGAGTCAGAAGAGGATAACTGCTATTTATTGAGTACTTTCTATGTGCCAGGTACTGTATTAAGTGATATATGTATTACATTAACACAGTTAAACTCAAGAGTTGAGTCTCATTAAATCCATTTTACAGACCGTGAAACTGAGGCACAGATTGATTAAGTAACTTGCTCAAGGTCAACTGGGGTTTGAACTCAGGCAGTCTGGGCTCCACATCTGTGCCCTTAACCATGCCAGTATCCCAAGGCCAGGGGTGTTCCCAGGATGCTTGATGACCACTGGGGATAGCACTGTCCCTGTCCTTGGGCATCTCAAAAGGCCTCTTTGAGGAGATGACCCCGGGTGGCTGCAGAGACAAAGGAAATGGGATAGAACATTCCAGGCTGAAAGGATGCAGAGAGAGGCATCACAGTATAAAGTCCAGTATCGCATGTCAGGAGATAAACCATTTTTGGAATTTCTAGAATGTAAATAAAGTGTGAGGTCAGAGCACACAGGGGAGGAGGCTGGGGAGACAGGTAGGAGAAGGACCAGACCATGGTGCGCGTGTCCCATGCTTGGAGTTGAAGGTATCTTCTGTAGGGGATGAACAGCCATCCCAGGGTTTATGCCAGGGAATGAGGCAAGAAATGTGCATTCTTTTTTTTTTTTTTTTTTGCGGGACGCGGGCTTCTCACTGCCGTGGCCTCTCCCGTTGTGGAGCACAGGCTCCAGACGCACAGGCTCAGCGGCCATGGTTCACGGGCCCAGCCGCTCCACGGCATGTGGGATCCTCCCGGACCGGGGCACGAACCTGAGTCCTCTGCATCGGCAGGCGGACTCCCAACCACTGCGCCACCAGGGAAGCCCCTGAAATGTGCATTCTTGATAGAATTATCTGGGGGAGGGGAACATTGTGGAGAAAGGACTGGATAGAGGTGAGACTGGAGGCATGAACACCAGCTGGGAGTTGAATGGGGAATCTGAATAGACAACTTAACACTGGGAATGGAGAAATGGCTTGAACTAGAGGCAAGAAAATTTTTTTTCCTTTCATTTACTACTTACAGTCTGCCTTATTCCATTAAAGATTCTCAGCTAGACCTCTGACTTCCTAAATTCTTCCCAGAATGTTTCCTTATTTTGCCCCCACTAATTGCTCACCGCTGGGTAAGTTGGCCCAGTTCACATCACTCAGTTTCTTCTCTGAAAACTGGCCTATTTATTAGAGCGAGGTGACCATGCAAGCTGGTGGCTGAGTTCAGTCCTGATTCCCACCTGTTACACAACTATTAATAGCACTCCCTTTTACTCTGCAGTGTTCTGCTTTGAACTATGTGGTCAGCCTAGTTAAAGCACATACATGAAAAACAATTGCGACAAAGCCTTGAATCTAGATGGCATTAAATTATGTGTAGGTACGTTCAAATGATCTTACTTGCTCAGTGATAACTCTGAGAAGTAGGCAGGATAAAGGTTATTGCCACTCCTTTTTTTTTCTTCCTTCCTTCCTCCCTCCCTCCTTCTTTTTCTCTCTTTCTTTCCTTATTTCTTGTTGTTGTTTAAGACACAAAGAAAAGGAAGTTCAAGTACATTAAATGACTTGCTGAAAGCACACATGTAGTAAGAAGTAGAGGTAGGGTTTGGATTTGAATCTTCTCATTCTGCTACACCACAGTTTCCCTTTTATGCTGTGGTAGATGAAAGATGGCCACATGCTCTTTGCAACCCTCCCATTCAAAGGTAGAGTCTAATCTCCTTCCTTGAATCTGGGTTGGTCTTAGTGATTTGCATAACCAATAGAACGTGGGAGAAGTGACAAGGGTTGAGTGAGTAACAGAAGTAGGTCCTGAGCCCAGGTTTCCTGACTCCTAGTTCAAAGCTCCCTTCACTTCCCCATGTCTCATCCCCAGTCTTCCCCTTTTCCTAGGGAGCATCTTCTCAGCCCTTCCACTCAACACTGATGCCCTGCACCCCTAACCAGCAACAGAAAGGAGTGGGGAGAGGCATGTCTTTCATCCACATATACAGATCTGAAGATGGAAAAAGTTTAAGTTTCACAGCCCTGGAGAAAAAGAGAATCAGAGAGTGAATGCTGGGAAAACATGGGGGAAGCAGCGTGGTGTGAGAGGGAGACCCTGGAGGATGTTTCAGTAGGTTAATAACCTAAGCTGTTGCCAAGTTGAAATTAGAAAGAGGAAGGCTCTGCCTTCCGAATGTGGAGGAGGGGGGCTAATCCTGTCCTTTGATAAATGGATCACATTCTAGCCAAATGAGATGCTCCGCCCCAGTGGCTGCAGTGGGACATTGGGCTGGGGAGGCGGGGGGTCGGTAGGGGGCCTCCGGAGCCCCAGCAATGAGGTTAAGACGCAGAACTGTGAGGCATGGGTACATTAGCGATGAAACTGCAGTCACTTTGGCGGCTCTTTATTAAATAACCTGCAATAGAGACGATGGGCAGAGGTACCAGGCTCAGTTTGGACTATTCACCTCCCCACCAGCCTTTCTGGAGACCTGTCCCCTCCCCCTGCCTTCCTGGGCCCTCTCTGATCAATTCCCCAGCTCTGCCCTTTCCCCTTGTCACTCATTTCTTTGGTTCAGACCTGGACTGGTACGGCCTTAAGCAGCTGCAGCTTTCAGTGCCTCTGCATGTGTGATGCCTTTGAGGCTCCCAGGGAGAGTTCAGGGACTCTTCTCCCTACCTCTCCCTTCCCAGTGTCCTCCATCTCTGGGTAGCAGCCTGGAGTGAAGAGGTCACTTGCCTTTTGTACATTTCAGGAAGGGCCAGTGCTGGCTGGGTCTCCCCAAAGAGGGGGTGGCCTCCTGGGAGCCCCTGGCTGTGCTAAACGTTCAGCCACTCCCAGCTCTCCAGGGATGTATTTTTAAAAATCTCTTTAATTCATAGACTTTTACACCTCCAGAGGTCTCAGAGACAGGAACTGGCCCGTGCAAGCTTAAAACGAGCTCCCTTCCTCCCAATTACTCCCCCACCCCCACCTTCAAGTCTACCAAATGCTGAGTGAAAGGCCAGACATAATTTGGTGGAATGATTTTCTGAAAGGGAAGACAGCTCGAGGAGGTTAGGCAAAGCTCTTGAAACCTAACTCAAATGATGCAAAGACAGTTTATCCCAATTCTCTCCTTCTTTCATTGGGGAAAAAATTACTGAGCTCTTTATACATGCTGGGCAAAATCCTAGGCATTGGGGATTTACAGAGAAAGGGGATATAGCCCTGTTTCTCAAATCGCTCAGTTTGGTGGAGGAAACTAATGATAATAATTACGTGCTTATTAGAGCTGTGACAGAGCACTTCATACATATCACAACATATGAATATGTGTAACATATGCATCATCTAATTCTCACAACAACCCTATGAAACCACTACTATTACTGTCTACCATTGAATAGTGAGAAAATGAGGCACAGAGAGGTTTTGGAACTTATTCAAGGTCACACAGCTAGTAAGTGGTAGAGCTGGGATTTGAACCCAGGCTGTTTGTCTCTAGCTCCAGAATTTGTGCTTTTAAAAACTAAATTACAGGGGCTTCCCTGGTGGCGCAGTGGTTGGGAGTCCGCCTGCCGATGCAGGGGACGCGGGTTTGTGCCCCGGTCCGGGAAGATCCCACATGCCGCGGAGCGGCTGGGCCCGTGAGCCATGGCCGTTGAGCCTGCGCGTCCGGAGCCTGTGCTCCACAACGGGAGAGGCCACGACAGTGAGAGGCCCGCGTACCGCAAAACAAAAAACAAAAAAAACTAAATTACAATTCAGTATAATTTTCATGGCGAGGGAGGGGAGGTGGCTAGTATTAGACCAGAAGGAGATGTTAAAGATAATCCAGACAAACCCAATACCAGCTGAGAAGCTGAGGCTCTGAGAAGCTGAGTGACTTCCCCAACGTTAGCATTACTAAGTGGGTGTTGAACTCACACCACCCATTCTAATGGGCCTCTTTCCCTTCCTCTATTGCTGCCAGGAATCTGAGAGCGCTGCACCCAGCAGGGGAAGGACATTCTAGTAAAGGAGCCTGGCAGGGACCAAGATGGAGACCCAAGATCCTGGCAGGTTCTGGAAACAGCAAGTAGAGTGGGTGTGGCGGGAGCACCTGAACGTGGGGGCAGGGAAGGATGAGGGTGGAAAGGGGGGGTGGGGACAGATTGGAAAGGGCCAGGATATTTTGCTAAGGCAAAGGGGAGTTATGAAGGATGCCATGATCAAATGCACTTCACTTATGTTCTCTCTGGCCATTGTGTGGAGGGAAACAAGGAGACATCCAGAGGACTGGCTTGGGGGCGTCGCTGGGGATGCTCTGGTGTGAACAGGACATTCACAAACGTGGTAAGAAGAGCATGTAACAAGAACAAAAAGGGGGACATAGAAACTCCTCGTAGGTTAGAGCCCTAAGTTAAAATTTTCAAAAAGAAAGTTAAAGAGAAGAAAGTGTCAGGACGAGTTGAAAAGCCTTGGACTAATGGGGGTTTGCTAATAGATAAGAGCAAGAGAGCTTTCAACCTGTATCTTGCACTCATCTTCACAAGGAGAAGAATCTTTGGATCGAGGAGTGGAAGGTAAACAGTAGTAAGAGAGAGCGGAAGCTTGAGAAGGGCTAAGAGGCTGTGAGGCAGCACTTGGGCTCTCTAAGCAAATTCAAGTCTCCTGCGAGAGACCCAGGGAAAGAGCTCGACCAAGGCACGTCAGTATCCTTGGAGTGATCAGGGAGGATGGGGATTCCGCAAACCGCTGACCAGTTGTCTGACACTGACCTCAGTTATGATTCCAGATAGGGTTCCTGAGGGCATGCTTGTGACAGTCTCCCTGGCTTCTGTCATAATTGTTCAAGCAACTTTAAAAAATAAGTTATATATAGTTTAACAAAAACAATACATGTGGATAGTTTAAAAAGTCAAGCAATGCTCCAAAGCTCACCACACAACCCAGCGGTCTCCTGTGCTTCACTCCCCATGCTGGTTACTTGCCAGGCTCACTAGAGGCACCATCCTCAAACCTTTTCGTTTTTTCTTTTAGCTTTTCAACATGTTCTGGTATTTACTTCTATATTTTAAAGTAACATGCCTATGATGCTGTCTCTTGATTCATTCCTTTTAGATTGTTTTGTAAACTTCACCCGGTGAACGGTTCAGAGCTCATGGAAGAGTGCACTTCTGACACGCCTTCCGGTGAGAGAGGGACACGTGGTTGTTTCTGGCCAATGAGAGTGTAAGAGGAAGTGATAAGTATCACTTTTGAGACGGGAAAAGCTCAAATGCGCTTCTTTAGTCTCTGCCCTGCCGTGGGACTGAGGATGCCGTGTATGCCAGATGGGGTAGCTGCAAATTGGTAGAGCCACTCACTGAGTCTCTGAATGACCGTATGGAGCAGAACCCCTGACAGCCCACATGAGAATAATGTGAGAAAGACATAAACTTCTATTATGTTATGTCATTTAGATGTTGGAGTTGTTACTATAGAATAACTTCATCCAACCTGACTAATAGATAGCTTATGAGTTTAGCTCACTTCTACCCCTTCTCCAAAGCCTACTAATGACATTTCAATTTTCAACAACTTTGCATGAGATATACCCTATTACATTTTTCTACTCTGTCACACTGTAATCGATCAGTTCCATTCTTCTTTTTTCTTGGAGTGAGATCTCCTGGAGCGCTTCAAACTTCTGCTGTAATATGGACTGAAGGCTCTCGAGATCTATACAATTGTTCTTCCCTGTATTCTGCATTCCATGTTGTCTTCTTTTTTGGTTTAATTTCTCTTTTGGGTGGAGCATATTTTCCAGTAGCTTTCTGACAAAGGGTCATTGGAAGATGTATTTTTTAGATTTTGTGTGTTTGGAAATGTCTTTTTGCCATCCACATACATGATCTGGGTATAAATTGGCTGGGTATAGAAGCCTAGGGTGAAAATAACCATGGCACAGACGACTAGCTATCCACCAAAATCTTGGGCACGCAGTGAGTGCGTTTTCCAGCTTCCTTTGCAATAAGGTTTGGTCATGAGATTAAGTTCCCTTTAATGGAAATTAAAATTCCAGACCTGGCTCATTCAAACTCTCCTACGTATGCTCTTCCATGCTTTTCTCCTTCCTGGCAAGATGGATGGAGGTGATGAAAATGAAATTCTATGGGTTTGCAAAGCCATGAGTTGAAAAGAATGTCAGTTCCTGAATAACCACCTAGAGAACTGTTCTGCCCTGAACAGTGCACCCAGGTATGTTACGTGAGCTAAAAATAAATATCTATTGTGTTAAAAATAAACACCTATTAAGCCAGTGAAATTTTAAGGTCTATTTGTTCTAACCTGCTAAGGTTAGTCCTTAGCAGTCTAACCTACTCTAATTAGTACAGAAATTGATTCTAGGCGTGGGGTGATGCCATCCGAAAAACGAAAATAGTGGCTTTGTCTAGGGGTAGGTGGTGAGGAAACATATAACAGGATGGAGAGAAGGAGATACCGCTTATGCTGGGACAAAAGCATTTGGTAAAACTGATACCAGAGATAATTTAGTATCCTACTGAGACTGTACTTACAGTGGAAGAGGTTAGAAAAGACAGACAGGCTTTGCTGTCAGTTACTTACTTCACTTAGGTTGTCACCAGGTAAAGATGAGCTTAGGAAAGCAAGTAGAGACTAAAGTTTGAAGAAACAGTTTCTGGACCTAACAAAGGAGTTGATAAGACTAAATAAGTCTTTAAGTCACAAAGACCATGAAGTCATCTCAGTTAAACAAAGGAACTCGGGCTTCCCTGGTGGCGCAGTGGTTAAGAATCTGCCTGCCAATGCAGGGGACACGGGTTTGAGCCCTGGTCCGGGAAGATCCCACATGCCACGGAGCAACTAAGCCTGTGTGCCACAACTACTGAGCCTGCACTCTAGAGCCCGCGAGCCACAACTACTGAGCCCGTGTGCTGCAACTGAAGCGTGCATGCCTAGAGCCTGTGCTCCGCAACAAGAGAAGCCACCACAATGAAAAGCCCGCACCCGCAACAAAGAGTAGCCCCCGCTCGCCGCAACTAGAGAAAGCCTGCGTGCAGCAGCAAAGACCCAATGCAGCCAAAAATAAAATAAAATAAGTAAACTTATAAAAAACAAACAAACAAACGGGAACTCATCCCTGCAGCAGGATAAAGTTAAGGACATTGTCTCTCTAATAAGCCTCTTGCTACAGATGGCTTTACAGTAGCTGGTATTAATTTGACAGCTAAATTGGCATAAGGACAAAGCAGCAAAAAACAAACAAATAGATTTAAGAACCATGTCTAGGAAACTTTGGATGTGGTTACAGCATATGTAACCAATGGGAAGCAAATAGATCAGAAATCTATTTGAAGGAAGAAATTACATTCCGAAGAAAACCATAAACATAGCCTAAAAAAACTTTACGACAACATTGGACTCCCAAGTTTCCATGAGCAACAAGTGGGCTGTGAAAGCAGTGGGACCCCAGAAAGGGGTATCCTCCCAATACCCACTTCAGGTGTGGACAGAGGAGATAACAGAGAATTTCCCAGAGGGACGATCAGGGGCTATGGAAGACAACGGACAGTGCCTCCAAGAGAGAAGGTACAGCCTCCCGCGAAGTAATCACCTCCGTTGGCAAGGCTGGGGATCCCAGCAGGGTGCCACCATTGTTGTGGACCAGGGACGGTCTGTGTTTCCCAATCTTAACTGCAATTATCCTATATATTGGGTGTGCGCAGGGTTGGAGTGTGGAGCACAGTTCCTAACTCTTTGGACCAAGAGAAATTCCATCAGACTTGTTAGAAAAGACTGCACGTCACCTCGAGGACCTGGACATGAAACAGAATGCAGAGGCTGCACGGGGCTCTGCTTTGACTCCCTTGGAAGGGGACTGAGTGTGTCCTATGGGAGGCAAGAAGGCCACACATGCCACTGACTATGGAAGACTGCTAGCTGGGCACCCAAATCTGTTCTCTTCTCTCTGGGTACACAGATGGGCTTATATTTCCCAGTATCCCTTGGTGGGAGGTGTAGCCATGTAGCTAAATTCTCTCCAGTGGAATATGAATGGAAATGACGTGTGCCAGTTTCAGGCTTGGCCTGTGCAGACTTAACGTGTGCAACGTCGCATGCTCCTCCCTTTCTAACGGCTGGCTGCAGACAAGAGGGCTCCAGAGCAAGTGTCCTAACCTGGGGTTCATGGACCCAAAGGTCAAGGGGTTCTATGAACTTGGATGGGAAAAGTAGATCTTCATTTTCCCTGTCTTTGAACTGAAATTTAGCATTTCTTCCTATGACGAATGCAGATGACAAACTACAGTAGTATTATCAGTACCTGCAATTTTGTCACCAGTAGAAATCACAGATAATTTCATATCATGTTACAGTTGTTGCAGATATCTCAAAATATCATTACAGTCATCACTACTAGGAAATTACGGTGCTTATTAGACCTGCCACTAGATTGCACATAATTGCAGCCTTCCTGTTGACAGACAGTCATGTAACACAAATGGCCGGTACTGAGCAGGGGAGGCATTCAGCCACCGAATGGGGAAGTCACATATTCTCACTGGTAAAGCAGAGATCTGTGCAGTCTTCCGGTAGTCCCTGCCTGCCGTCGTTGGTCAGTTAATATGTGAAGGTAGGTGAGTGGTTTTCACTGTTTTTTTAAAGGTTTGCAAAACCGGATGATTCAAATAAGAATTCTTCACTTTCCTTAATATTGAGAGGTATGCAGACCACAAATGTCGTCACTGATAACGTTTTTTTAAAAATAAATGCAACTTTAAATCACCTATGCTTTAATTGTACTGTCTTGTTAGCTATTGAATTAATATGGAAGCACATGTATTAATTATTATATTACAGATTGTCTTTTTATATTTTGATAGCTATATGTCCATATAATTTGTTTGCTTTTTACTACTATGAGTTTTGTGTTACAGATTTAAAAATATTCTGAGAATGGGGCCACAGGCTTCACCAGACAGCCAAAGGGGACCAGGGCACAAAAAAGTTTGGGAGGGAGCCTGTGGTATGGCTGAGCCACAATGTGGAAGGAGCTTGGGTCCCATGAAAGAAAGCCTGCCTATTACCTGAACATCCATCCAGAACTATTACGTGAGCAAAAAATAAACTTCTGCTGTGTTAATTTGGGATTTGTTATTACCAGAGCACATCCCACCTCAAGCAAAGACCTCGGTCCATTGTAGCTTTTGTTGTTATTTTTGAGCAGTTCAGTGCCATATGGATATCTGTTCTTCTGTGTCATTTCTCTGCTTGGTGTAACCCTCACTCCTACTGTTAAAAAAATATTTTTTACTTAATCTTTTTGTTCTGAAATTTCACTTGTGCCCTAGAGTGGCTCCATTAATTTTGCCAGGCCCTCAGTGGGCTTTTTTATTTTTTTAATTATTTTATTATTAAAACATTTTTTTTGGCTGCACTGCATAGTATGTGGGATCTTAGTTCCCCGACCGGGGATCAAACCTGTGCCCCCTGCAGGAAGCATGGAGTCTTAACCACTGGACCACCAGGGAAGTCCCCTCAGCAGGCCTTTTTAAATGTGGCAACTTGTATCTTTCAATCTGGGAAATTTCGTTATCTCTTAGTCAGTGTTCTGGTTAGCTACAGCCTTGTAACAAATCACTCCCAAAACTTAGTGACCTAAAGCCACAGCAATCATTTTATAACCTCTGATAGATCTGGGAAAAGCTCAGCTAGGTAGTCCTCTCTCATGAGATTATAGTCCTATGGTAGCTGGAGCTGGAACAGTGGGGACTGAAGCATCTGCAGCCTTACTGGGCGCCCCTCTCTCTTCTCAGGGTAGCCTATGTGATCTCTCCACATGGCCTTGCTTGGGCT